ATATTCCACTATCCCCTCTTCCAGCCCAACCCTCCGGAGGCCTCTCAAGATGGAGGCATGCTGGACACTATCAAAAGCTTTGCGGAGGTCTACCGAGAGAACGTTATAGCTCTTCCCGGCATCCTTCCGCGACCCGATATAGTGGTCCAGAATAAGCACGTTAGCCAGCGTGCCGTCCATCTTTACAAAGCCTCTCTGATGATGGCTGAGCTGGATCGCTGCTCCAATACGGCCCTGAACGATCCTGTGAAGGAGCCGAAGCGGTGCAGACCCGATGGTAATGGGTCTATGGTTTTCGGCCCTCCGTCTATCACCATCCTTGGGCACCAGTATGTTCGGCTTTGTTTCCACGTTGTTGGGTGGATTTTACTCCCAAAGATGGTGGTAAATACCACGCTCAACTCGTTGTTACTCATCTTTTTGACGTCAGCTACTGTTATTCCATCTGGGCCGGGTGCAGAATTCTGCCAGTTGGCCTTCCATTTGCTGACGTCATCAGGTGTTCGGATAGAACGCAGAGTTCTGCTACTTTGGGGTCCGCGATCGGTTCGTCGTCCCCAGCGGGTAAGGACTCCCAGATTCCGCCATATAACGCTTCCACTTCCGCCAAGGAAGGGAGTTCGATTGACTCGTGCATGCCCTGCCCTTTGAGCACGCGTTCTGCGAGGCCAGATCTGTCCTTGGCATAGAGGTCCTGCGCCTTCTTGTACTCGGCCGCGCGCTTGCCGCTGCCGCCTTTGGCCTGATTGTAGTGCCTACCGGGTTTACTGGCACCTCTCGTGCGATTGTTCTTGGTCCGTTTGTTTGATGAAAATCTCGACTCCACCCAACGGTCGAGAGCGACCGTCAGTTGTTCTGTGGAGCCGAGAAGCGCCATATCAATGACGCGACGGATCTCCCCATGCTCAGGAAGATTGAATCCGCTTCGAGCATCTCGCAGGTACTCTACAAAAGTAGAGTTTATGTTCACCTTTGGTGCGAGATCTCTCAGCGGAACGGAGGCAGCTCTGCCTCAGGAGCATGGGGAGCCGCGGTCGTATTACGACCGGAGAGGTTACCAGACCCGGAATGGTGAGCTGCGTTCTCACGCAGCGATACGGGTACTTTAGAACGCGCAGGTTCCATGCCAAGTTGGTCGCTAGGACTGGCGACCACAGTTCTGGGTTGAACGATTTTCGATTGAATTGGAGAGTCGCTCTCTCTCCTCTTCCTCTTGCCATCTCGGCATTTTTGCGCACCGTTGGAACCGGTGGCCTTAGAGCTAGGTACGATAGAGCTCGTATTCCTGCCTACAATCTGTCCCTACTCCAGCCGTCTTCTCTTGGCGGGTTGAGGTCGTGCGTGAGCAACTCTCCTCATCCGCTTCTGCCTTGCTGATACCTTCTGAAGCAGAGGAGACTCCATGTCCTGCGAAAGAGGCTCGTTTTCGCAGGAGGCTGGTTGTTTAGTTTGTCCTTTCCCTCGGGCACGGGCGTCTGGCACACCACGGAGGATCCGCTAGTAGATGCGGCGGGGGAAGAAGATTTTGCTGGTAAAATCCGAGTACCAGAGGCCCGGAATTGCTTCCGGGCGAGCTCGAGATATCTCTGATACTCGGCTTCCTCCTCCTGAACCGCACCTGGTCAACGGTGAGATCTGTGGCTTCAGCCATGCACTTATTAACTCGCCCGGCTGGTTCACGGGCTTCGATCCTCGCCATGATCTGCAAGATCTCTGGTTCTGGCAGAGGACCGCGCATCTTCTCGATCTCACCGGCGTATTCCACCGGGTGTGCCCTCCGCTCGTGCTGTCGGGTGGACTTGTAACTGCCAAATCTCATTGGACAGTGCCTACATTGGAGCCTGTCTTCGCATGCTCTTGCCATCTTGTGCGTTCTTAGCTGCACTGCCGACGTAAAAGCTGTGTCACACGTCGTGCAATAGTTTGGGGAGGACTTGGCGCCAGTATTGCATTTCTTGGCGCCGCTGACGGGCTTAGCCTTTGATATGTCTGTCCTCCCCTTGTCCTCACTCCCGCGTTTGCTCGATGCGGGTTGGGCCAGTTGTAAATCTGGCCGTTTTTAGTAAGACCGGCGCCGAGAACCGGCGCCTTGGTCGATCTCGCGCCACTGTTCTTGTAGGGCGCGGTGCGTGCGTTCGATCCGGGAATTAGCCACCGTGACATAATGACACGGGCCCGACTCTCGGTTGGATTTGGAGGAAATCCGGAACCTTCCCGGGTGAGTCTTAAGCTCCACAAATACACAAACCGATGTCACCAAGAAACGCTAACAATCTTGAAAAAGACGTTAGCGCAGCCTACAACACAGCTGGTACTTGTAAAAATGGTCTGCGTAAATGCTTCCTTGCTCAAGACTCGAGAGTCTAGAGTCCTAGTTACTCCCGCCGTTTACCCGCGCTTGCTTGAATTTCTTCACGTTGACATTCAGAGCACTGGGCAGAAATCACATTGAGTCAACACCCGCAGGGGCCATCTCAATGCTTTGTTTTAATTAGACAGTCGGATTCCCCCGGTCCGTGCCAGTTCTGAGCTGACCGTTGAATGGCGGCCGAAGAGGACACCAGAACGCCCTTGCGAGCGCACTCTGGGCCTCGCAGCAAGACGGTTCCGCGGGAGGCCAAGGCACGGTACCGAGTTCGGATCCGCAATCCTACCGCACACGCGCGAACGCATACGACAGAACGTTTCACCTCGCCCAGGCCCGGCACGTCAGCCGCGACCCGCTTCCTCGCCAAGCCCGACACGCCCCGATCCTCAGAGCCATCCTTATCCCGAAGTTACGGATCCAATTTGCCGACTTCCCTTACCTACATTATTCTATCGACTAGAGGCTCTTCACCTTGGAGACCTGCTGCGGATATGGGTACGAACCGGCGCGACACCTCCACGTGGCCCTCTCCCGAATTTTCAAGGTCCGAGGGGAAGACCAGGACACCGCTGCAACTGCGGTGCTCTTCGCATTCCAAACCATATCTCCCTGCTAGAGGATTCCATGGAACTCGAATGCTTATGCAGAAAAGAAAACTCTTCCATGGTCTCCCGACGGCGTCTTCGGGTCTTTTTGGGTTACCCCGACGAACTCTCTTGCGAGGGCCCGACTATTGTACGGTTCCGCTGCCGGGTTTCGGAATAGGAACCGAATTCCCTTTCGCCCGACGGGCGTGTTCTTTATATATACACACATACATACATATATTTATAAACAACGCCACATCAACATCGGCTTTCGCCTAGGGCTTAGGATCGACTGACTCGTGTGCAACGGCTGTTCACACGAAAACCCTTCTCCACGTCAGTCCTCCAGGGCCTCGCTGGAGTATTTGCTACTACCACCAAGATCTGCACCGACGGCGGCTCCAGACGGCCTCACGGCCAGCCCTTCTGCGCGCACCGCCGCGACCCTCCTACTCGTCAGAGCTTCATGGCCGATCCGTTTTTACGCGGATCGAGACCGCACATGCCGCTGACGGCCGAGTATAAGCACGACGCTTCAGCGCCATCCATTTTCAGGGCTAGTAACTTCGGCAGGTGAGTTGTTACACACTCCTTGGCGGATTCCGACTTCCATGGCCACCGTCCTGCTGTCTTAAGTTACCAACGCCTTTCATGGTATCCCATAAGCGTCGATTTAGGCGCTTTAACTCGACGTTTGGTTCATCCCACAGCGCCAGTTCTGCTTACCAAAAATGGCCCACTTGGCACTCTGATTCGATTCTCGCAGCTTCATTAGTTCGAGCAAGCCGGAGATCTCACCCATTTAAAGTTTGAGAATAGGTTGAGGTCGTTTCGACCCCAATGCCTCTAATCATTCGCTTTACCGGATGAAACTCGTCACAGACGAGCGCCAGCTATCCTGAGGGAAACTTCGGAGGGAACCAGCTACTAGATGGTTCGATTAGTCTTTCGCCCTATACCCAGTTCCGACGATCGATTTGCACGTCAGAATCGCTACGGACCTCCATCAGGGTTTCCCCTGACTTCGTCCTGACCAGGCATAGTTTCACCATCTTTCGGGTCCCAGCGTGTACGCTCTTGGTGCGCCTCTTCTCGTAATGAGAACGAGACGCCCCGGGAGTGCGGAGCGGCCGCTTTATAGACGTGCCGCCCATCTTCCCTAAATCCGCGCTAGGCGGATCTTTACTTTCATTGCGCCTTTAGGTTTAGTTATGTCCCAATGACTCGCGCACATGCTAGACTCCTTGGTCCGTGTTTCAAGACGGGTCCTGAAATTACCCAAAGCTATAGCGTCGCAGATCGGCGTTTCAAACGAGGTCTGTCCGAGAAATCCGCACGACCAACAGTCGTCCGGGGACGGAACCGGGCGCTAGGTCCGATCGCCGTCTTAGCATCGAACGTGCTTGTCGTGGGTCGGACGCTAATTGAAGAAGTAGCGGCCTCGCGCCATCTGTATACCGTCGAGCGAGTCGGCCGGAACATCGCGGGTTCGAGCACGAATCGCCGAAACGATCGTACACGGACTCCACCGCGAGCCGTAGACCGACACCCAACGGATCGCGACGTCCTACTAGGGGAAAAGTGCACGCGTTCGACGCCGGATCGAAAGCGAAAGGCGCGGACGACGCGCGAACGCCGTCCGTCGCGCGAACCGCTCATCGCCGACGGCCGAAACGCGAATGAATTTCCCCTTTCGACCTTTCGGGTTTCTCAGGTTTACCCCTGAACGGTTTCACGTACTCTTGAACTCTCTCTTCAAAGTGCTTTTCAACTTTCCCTCACGGTACTTGTTCGCTATCGGTCTCGTGGTCATATTTAGCCTTAGATGGAGTTTACCACCCACTTAGGGCTGCACTCTCAAGCAACCCGACTCTGAGGAGAGATCCTCCCGCGATCGGCAGCGGCCACTACGGGCCTGGCACCCTCTATGGGCTGTGGCCCCGTTCAAGAAGGACTTGGACTCGCCGCGCGACCTCGGGATAAACGGATCCTCCCTAACACCACATTTCCCGGCGCCCGATATCGACCGCGGGATTCGGTGCTGGGCTTTTCCCTGTTCGCTCGCAGCTACTGAGGGAATCCTAGTTAGTTTCTTTTCCTCCGCTTAGTAATATGCTTAAATTCAGCGGGTAGTCTCACCTGCTCTGAGGTCGGTTAACAATATACAACACAACACCACACACAGATATATATGTCACACGCGATCGCTAATACTAAATCGTATAGCTGCTGCTGCTATACTACTACTAGTCGAAAGCGTTCTCTAGTGTTTAGCGCGTATATGCGATCAGACGTCGTTATCTCGAAAAAAATAATTTCTCTCTCGGACACGACGATCGCAGCGCAAGTTCGAAACGCGTAACGACAACAGCATATATACATATATATATATATATATATATATATATATGTAGTGCTATTACGATTTTATCCGTACAGCGCGCGTGTTCGTTCTATGTGTGAGTTTACGATTCGTTCGTATGACGAACGAATCGTCGCTTTCGCGTTTTGAGATGCCGCGACGACGACAAAGACGACGACGTTTACGATATTACATAAATAAATATATAATAACTAGCGTCGTCGCGTCGTACCGCCGCGTCTACATCCAACACGCTCCGACGTTTCATTCTCCTCTCTCATGTCGTCGTCGTCGTCGTCGTCTCTCGGATAAAGAGATAATACGACGACGCGAACAGAGATCGGAGAGGAAACCGAGCAGTCTTTTAAATTGATACGACCCTCAGCCAGGAGTGGTCCGGGAACAGTATCCGAGGACCGCAATGTGCGTTCGAAATGTCGATGTTCATGTGTCCTGCAGTTCACAAGTTGACGCGCAATTAGCTGCGTTCTTCATCGACCCACGAGCCAAGTGATTCACCGTTCAGGGTAATCGTTTTTTAATTAGACGATCTCTATATATATAAAATATATATCGATACGTCTTTATTGTTATGATAATGGCTAATGTTATTAAAGAAAATATATAAAAAAAAGAAAGCGCGCATTTCTCACGGAGACTTCGTGTATTTTGCGCGGCAAACGCGCAAAATTATTTTTGCGCGTTTATAACAAACGAGCGTGCCGACGAAGTCTCTCGTGTACGCGCGCATTCTATCCGTATCGCGCTTCTATAGCATACGCGTGCAAGGGGTACAAATAACACTACAACAGAGTTGTACATAACATGAATATATATGTATGTATTAAGCGTACAACACGTGTCGTCCTCTTGTACCGTCTTTTCGTATGGCGTAGAAATTTC